CAACAGAATCACACGTGAGATTCTAACCATCTTATTTATTATTAAAGATTCCAGCTTAAGTTTGTTGTTTATATTTTCGAAGTATGTGAGGCATAAGCAAATGCAAAACAAATACATAATCTTCAGGATGTTCCCATGGCAAGCTGTGATTAGCTTATCTCACTACTTACATAACAGTTGGGATTGGGCGGCACATCTGCTTTCTGGCTTCAACTGCCTGTTCTCTACTCTGTAAGTCTCAGCATTGAGAATCATTCCACTAAATAATACTGTTTGCACATAATGTAATTCTACTTTCTGTTCCATGACTTGCAGATTTCTGTTCCGTGTTGCATACTTAGTCATCCCAGTCTGTTCTCTCAGTAGAAACAACTGTTTAATATTGTGCATCCTTAGCAAACTTCAAAAATAAAAGAAATAAAAGACTTCCTAGACTTCCACATATTAAAATATTGGTGACGATGTTTTATCCATTGTCTTCAAGATGATCTTAAGCAGTAAGAATGAACTGCCTCAATTTCCTTTGATGAACCATTTGCCATTACCTTTCCATCTTAAATCATTAGGGTGAGACAGTTTAATATATCTTCTGTAAATTTCTAGATTTTAAATATCAAGGTTACAGATGCCTATTACAGACTTTTCCACTAATGACTGTTGTCTGTCATTTCAGGCTTCCATACATCACAGCAGCACTTGACCTGTGTTAGCATAGATTGTTAGCTGCTTCTAGTCAAAAGCAGTTATTAAAAATCTAAAGAGTGAACCAGCTGTACCTTTATTGTTGTTGAGAAGTGCTAACACTGAATCAGGTGCATACTTTTTTAAATTTTAAGTCTTCCTAAGTATCATAAAAATCATTTTGAGAGAATTATGTTTAATAACAATAATGCAGTTTTTTTTTTACTGTTTGAAAAAAAATCAAAACAATAGGGAGACATATGACTCCACATGTGGAAATGACTTCAGCACAGCAAATTCACTAAGCAATTTTCTTATTAACCTTAATATTGTACACATTAATTGCATTAAGACTTGCAACACAGGACACCATCCTGGGTTGTCATGGATCCAAAGAAACTAAGAAATGTTATTTTCAGAGGCAACAACAACAACAACAAAAAAAAGATTGATAAATCCCAGTCCTGCTATCACTATGTAACAATATTTAAATAAATAGAAACAAATATAAACAACACAAGAAACTGTACAGTATAAAAATGACTGCTTACAAATCCTGAAATTGCTTTTACTTATTGATTTTTTTTTTTCATTTTAGCTGGATATACACATTATTCCATTAAAAAGTTTTAGGCATTTTCCCATTGCCGTTTTTTAATTGATTGACATTGAGGTGCTTTTGTAGATCATAAACAGTGTTGTAAACCAAAGTTACCTCAATTTAAAAAAAGATTAATTTAAAAAATACCAGAATATCAGGAACTGAAACTGGTAAATTTTCTGCAGATTGTTGGAACATTCTTCTTGCCCTGTTAGTCTCCCTTTCTGTCTGATTCACTTGATGATATTCATATCTAGTTTACCTTTATTATGACTGTGAAATAGTATTGTGACTTTTAGATCAAGTAGGTTTACCTCTCAGGGGAAACTTACTAAGGGGAAACTTAGTTTTAGCACCAGATCCTACTTTCAAGGGCCAGTGTTCTAGAAGATCACCTAAGGGCCTTAGTTTTTCATCAAAGCCTAGTAAAAAGTATTCTTTATACTAAATGCACAAATTCTTAACACTAATGCAGAATACAGTGCTCAGTATTCATAGAATAACAAAAAAAGCATATATTTTTTGACTATTAGAAAATAGATTTTTATGACACAGTTTACAGTATGAAATTTTGCTTCCAGAAATGAGGAATAGATTAACTAAGAGTTTAATACATAACAAACAGGGTCCAGAATCTCTATGGCTGGATAAATAACTTTTATTTGTAGGAGAGCATTTGAAGTTAGTGTATGTAACTAAGATGTATTATACTTATGAAAGCTATACTTACTTGTTTTTTTCCTCACCATCTAATGGCACATTTTAGCATTCAGAAAATCCTTAATGAATATTTATTTGAATATAACTCAGTGGAATGTCAAAGTTTAGAATTCAGTGGGGAACAGTACCACAGGAAGCAGAAGACTATAGCAACCATATATGTGTATGCATGTGTGTCATTTCACTGATAGTGTGTATAAATGATTATGTAAGATAATATTTGTTGAGAAGGTCTTGGAATTTATCATTTATTTTCTCCTTTCTTTCCTTTCTTCCTTTTTTCTTTTGTTTTTGTATAGATTACTAATAATGTGTGTATATTTCATTATCTCATTTAAAAAAATAACTGATTCATAAAACTGAGTGTACAATTTTGTATATTTTTCCTCTGTAAAACTTTAAAGGAGCACCTTTTTAAAGAAACAGGCCTTCTCAATATTGTTTACCTTTCTGTAAACAAAATAAATAATGCAGCTTTGTAAGTAAAATATATGTGAATAGGACAAACATATACTGATATAATTAAAGAAACAAAAGTTCAGCTGAAGCAAGTGTTCATTTTAATGCAGTAAAGACTGACAGCTTAAAATGAGATTTTGCACATCTACTGGATTAGATCACAAATAAGTGCAAGGTTTCTTTATGCTGAAATTTTCCTCAGTCCATTCAGTGTTTGCTGGAGTAAAAGTTTCTAAAAGATAGGGGGGGGGATGATAATATATGTAATTTTGGATTCTCTTTCTTCATACACTCACTCAGGAATTTTATTAAATTTAATATTTTGTTTTGAAAATATTCTTTAACATTTTAATTTAACATCACATTTCTCCAGTATATGAGACCTCATGTCTTTTGTTCTCCTAGCCTGGTTGTGTTTCTAGATGCAATAAGCAATTCCCCCATCCTTTTCTCTGCTTTCAGTTCTAAGTAGAACATTCTCAGATTGCTGTAGTAACTTCTTTCCTCCTCTCTAATGTAAGAGGTTAGAAGTGGAGGAAGTGGAGTCTTTTTTTTTTTTTTTTAAAGCATCAGAGAATAAGACAACTAAACAATGTGTTAGGGCAGCTCAAACTTTTGCAGCTGAGTAATAGTTTTGCATTGCTCTTGGCAAAGAAACTATCAAATGGTCCATTTCTCCCATGAGGTCAAGAACTCTGTGCACATTCAACCATTTATCTTTCTTCTATCTTTCCAGACAGTGAAACCTTGCATTCTGACCTTCTTTAGAAACTCCTTTATCCCTACAATCTCAGGTTTATGAGAATAGTTTTGGAAATACACATTCCTGCTAAGATCAGCAGAATGAATAATGTCTATAGATGCTGTTTTTTTCTCCTTTCTTATTTGTGTGATACTTTGACTTAGCATTATGAACTTTGCCCATTATTAGTTTGAAGTGAAAATTCAAGAATTGTTAGTCTTTATTAACTCTCTTCCAAGTATGTGTACAGGGCTTCATAGTTTACATGATGATTTCATATTCATCATTATCATTAGGTTTCATCAGTTTAATCTTGAATTAGTTGTAAATCAGGAAACAGAGACTCACAGTTTAAATACTCAAATCATGTAAATCTTAGTAGGTTCACTACTCACAGATCTTTGAATCCAGATCCAGTTCTCCCTATCTACAGATTACTCTGTGGTTGAGTCAGCTGAATACTATCATTGATTCTTGGTGCCAGCTGATATATCACACTTTCTACAAATCTGTATTCTTTGCTCTCCACATAATTTTCAAAGTGGAATCAGTTACATTCTTAGATACACTTAGACTTTTCTACTCAGTAATATCGAAGTCAATGACCTTAATTAAGGTTTTCTCTGTCCATATTATCTGTTTCATCCTCTGAACAGCATTACCAGGTCTCTTCATGATGTTTTAATTTTTGTTTTATTAAAGATTTATTTATGCTTACAGAACTGGGTACAGGCTAGAGGTTTGGTGGGTGAGAGGATTCATCAGAGACAGAGTGGGGAGTAGAACAGTCAGATCTCCTGAAATACACTGCTGAAGGGAGGAGCAGCTGCTGAGACCCAGGGCCACCATGCCATGTGGATCAACTCCCTGGCAGGGAATCAAACTCAAACTGTAGTGGCTTCCGAGAGCTTTATAATGTGGTATTCTAACCCATTGTGCCACCAGGGAGAACTCTCAGATTTTTGGTTTGTTTGTTTGTTTTTGTCTTCTTTTTCATAGTTAATTGTATAGATAGCATGGATGTCATATTATGAAAACCATAATGCCAGCTTGAGGCTAACATTTTGTTATCTTAAACAACTCAATAATTTGATGCACTAGTCAACACAAGGATCAACACAAAACTTAAAAAAATAAGCTGCAAGGCCCTCCCTGGTGGCAGAGCGGGTTAAAGCACAGCACTTAGAAGCTAAAGCCACTTCCACATGAGTTCGATTCTCGCCTGCCCCGGAGGTGACCACATAGTGTGGCAGATCTCTCCTGACCTGCCCGCTGCTCCCCTCAGC